GTTGCAAATTAACCCTTTTTTGCACAACTTACATAAGTTCTTTCTCTTGGTCCTTTTCCTAAAATAGATATAAGGAGAACAAATTATTATACTTATAAAAAATTAATGTAAATTTATAATCACTATCTACTTTAATTATTTATTCCTTCTGTTTAATTTTAAAAGGTGTAATTTTTTTATCTAATAACATAAAATTGTAATAATTAATTGATAAGATTTAATATTTATTTTTAATTAATAATTATTTTACTAAATCTTCTTATTTAATATATGCTGTAATTATCTTTTTAAAATAAAGATAAAGTACAAAAAAGGATAAAATTTGAAATTTATTGCTATTATAATCACTATGCGTGTGTACCAAATACTGAAATGGTATGCGAAAAATTTTGATATTTGGTACACTAGGTAATTATCTTCTTATTTTGTATATGTTTCAGTAGCAAAACCAGTACACACACCGGTACGATATTGACAACTTTGTATAAAACTCATCTTCTTTTTTTTTTTTTATTAGAATGAAAAATATTATTGATTTCTACTAAGATGCCTCATTGAGTCTGTTGTTAGGTCTTGCCAAAATAAATACAACAATAACCTAGGGGAAGCATCAAAAAAATTTCCTTCTAAGATTTGTCATCCCACTATAGAGAGCATCATATTTTAGCTATTAGGGCAAGCTTTTAAAATACAAAAGAACTCTGCGTACAATCTCAATTACTAATGATCAAAGATAACCTAGTGTTTCCTCAAAAATCCTTAAGTGGCTTTGCACGTGCAGAATATGGATGTAGGCGTGCCACTTACTTTTCTAAAAAGCAAGAAAAAAGGATTTTCCCAACGACCCTCACTTTTCATGTGATCAACCTCCATTAGGATGGCTGGAAGAACATTGGTTTAAGATTGAGTTTTGCGCCCTTCAGATGATTTGCAAGAAGGAGGGACGCCTTCCTGCAGAATGGGTTGCTAATTTGCCTTGGACAATCTCAAGGAGTTTACCACTACCGTGAATTTAAGTTAGATCCAAAATGAACTAAATGAGATGCAAATTAAAATAAACTGGATGTTTATTGCATGAAAGGAAATCATAAAAGCAATTACACAAACTAATTTGGGTACTTGAATGATGAAAACAACCTAAATCTACTGGGATTTGTGCTAAAACTTAAATCTGAAAGCTAAAGTGAGCAATCACTATGAAACTAGAGAATTGAAAAATTGATGAGTTTCTATGTAGGGCTGGCCGTGTCTTGAAAAAATTCAGAAATCTTCTATTTATATGCTTCTTGCAAACTGTCTCTTGGCTGATCAAATCACGGATAACTTCCTCCCAAATTCTAGGGATTTCTGTTCCTTTTAGATTCAAGCTGCAACAAACTGGAAAACCTTTATCCTCCTAACCAACTTTACATATACGCATTCCTTCAGTGGATTTATTCTCACATTATCCATTGACACGTGGTATTACTAAAAATGCAATTTATGGTGTAAACACCTAGACTTACGCCTTGTAGAGTTTCCTCACCTTGGCTATCATTTACTAGACTCAATTAAAACAAAACCTAAACGATAGACTAAAATTGCTTGGACTTAATAAATTAAATTTAAAAAAAGATGAACCAACCTAGAAATCCTAGTAAAGTTGGGGGCCGTATAGTGAAATTTCCATTTTTCCATGTTTCACCTCTAGCCAAATCCCCATGCTTGGTCATCAAGCCTCGCTTGTGACCTGCCCATAGCCAATAGAGTGTCTCTACCATAACATTACCACCACCTTCATCCACCTACAACAGCTTTAGCCTCTCATATGTTCTCTGGCTACATCTTTTGCCATGTATATAGACATCACCTGTTTACCCTTTAACGGCTATTATTCTCAACATTGTGGACCACCAAATTAGCCCAAGATGAATAGGGATGCATTCCTCTAGAGAAAAACCATCTCAAGAAACCAACTAACAAACACAACATTGCAAAAGAAAGGATGAGATAAGGACAAGAAAACAAATGGGATAAGGAGAGAACCCATGTAGGGAATAAACCATATACCGAGACCAAACTGATCATCAACATCACATTTTCTCATACGCCTCCTAAACCTTAGGCCACGTGAGATCATTTTTAATGTGGTATTCCGTTTAAAAAATTACCTTTGATGTTGAACTTTTAATTATATCTAACCCCCTAAATACTTCTATAGGTTAATTGTGACTTGTAAGTCCTATAATTGATGGAGTATATGAACATGTGAGTGGAGTTAAGAGTTGTAAGATCCCATATTGATAAGAAACAATGTGTTAGAGTATAATATACATGCAAAGGCCCATGAACCTAGTAGGCATGTCTTTTGGCTTCAATATGGCATCTCCACATATGAGTTTGTGTTCATATATTTGTGCACTCTTGAGCTTGTCCGTTATACTCTCCAACAAGTCGTATCAAAGCTAATGGTTCAATCTTGGTGCAATCAAGTGTTTAAGGATGGGTTTGGTAGAATTATGAGTGTAGAGAAGTCTCGTCCGATGAGATGAATAAGGTCCAAAATTGTTCGATAGACAAGTGAGGTTCAATGGATGGGCAAGATCTGAAGTCTGAAGTAGTTACACTCATAGGAGAGAGGTTCACATGTTCACAAGAGAGAATGTTGGAGTAAATGAACATGTGAGTCGGTTAAGAGTTACAAGATCCCACATTGATGAAAAACAAGGAGTTAGAGTATAATATATTTGTGGAGGCCTATGAACCTAATCAGCATGCCTTTAACTTCAATATGGTGTGTGATCATATGTTCTCATGCTCTCACACCCATGCACCCTTGAGCTGGCCCATTAGACTATCCCATCAATAGTTAGCTTCATCATCCCCAACTTGGTTTTGATATCTAAGTGTTAAAGAACTCTATTTGTGTACTTATTGTTACTAAGAGTCCACATATAATCATCTCAATGCTCCAATTAATTGAGGTCTTCACAAAATGATTGATCCTAATTATAAAAGAAGGAAAAAGATGATCAAATTGTTCAATGATTAATTCAATTATAGAAAAAAAAAAACAGATTAAACCATTGTTAGGATTGATTAACCAAGAAGAAATCAATTCACCAATTAATTGACTTCAAGGATTGAAAAATTGATTTTTTTTATCAGCAAAAAAAGAATTTTATTTTTAGGAGCACAAGAGGTACTTTAACCCATATACAAAGTTAAACTGCTACATCAATCATTAACCAACCAAACCAAAACCCAAAAAAGAATCAAAACTGAGCAAAAACATCAACACGTGACTAGCCACATAAAGGACTCATGCACATTCTTGATGCTGCTGATGAAAACTCTTCAACAGTGTCTTATATCGTTTTATAGCTACAGTGCAATCCACCAGATGAACCTTCCACTCATAAAAGAAAAAACGCATCCATCCACTTTATTTTTTATCCCAAAAAATGACTTCATTTGTACCATATCCATCAAATGTTCCCCCACTCTCAAAATCCTTAAATACACAAGCATTCCACTAATTCCATAAATACCATGCCACAATAAGAAAAATACATGCGCTTATCTCCTTCCCTATAATACTACCCAAATCATGCAAGAAAAATTCACTATTCCCCGAATTGTATTCAACAGCACAACCTCTATTGCCCACCAATCCAGCACCTTAACCCAAACTAACCAAGCTTCCTTACACTTACAAAATAAATGATTAATCTCCTCCATCACCTCATGACACAAACCACATAATAATTCCTCTTGTTGCAACAACACTCCCCTTTTTTGTAATTCCATTTTGTTGAAAGCCTATCAAGACAAAGCCTCCACTCAAAAAAACCAACTTTTGAAGGCACTACCTAACACCAAATGAGCTTACAAAGCTGACTATCAAGAAGGCACTCATCAGAAGCTAGAAAATCATAAGCTGTCCTAACCTTATATCGTCGTCCCAGATCATGTATCCAAGTCCAACAAACCTCCATCCCCTTCTTCAAGTGAATACTATCCAACACCCTCCACAAGACCTCCTCCTCATCCTTTTCATGACCCATCCTCCCCCTTCTCCATGCCATATTCCACTACCATATTAGTAGGAAAATTTCAATTAACTATTATTTTCTTATATTACGTATACTTCACCCTATGAATAGAGCTGTTCATATATAATAATAATAAATAAATAAATAAAAATAAAAGTACAACGCCTGCGAAGGCATGTTTTATCATGGATTAAATGACCTTGAGGCATTATAAAGTCTTGGAATGATCTTGAACCATGTACATCATGTCTTACTCTTTTTCATTTAAATTTTATCTTGTTTATTTTATTGCTATGTTATCTTGACATGAGATATCCTCTATATTTAAGAGGTTTCCAAATCATATTGGAGATTTTTACACATCAAAGCTCTTAGAAAATTCCACAAACATATCTTCTTCACTGATGTTGAACTTTTACTTATATGTGACTTCCTATTTATCTTTATTAATTAATTGGGGCACTCATTATGCTCTATCATAAAAGTTACACCATTCATTCTTATGATTGTAAATTTGAGTTTAAAAGCTAACAAATTCTATTCATGCATATTAGATGTTGACGTGCCAAAATGGATGGAGTTGCCATCTATCCAAATGAGGTGGGATAGATCATCAAGGTCTACGTAGAAATTGACTAAGCTCGGAGGGTTGGTTAAGTATGGGGAAGGTGTTAGGCACCTCACAACTTCCATATAATATGGTTACCACATACTTTAATTTTGGGGAGTTTTCAATTTTATATCATAATAATAATTACAAAAAAAAATGATCATAATAGTAAACGACACA